ATGTCTCCCAATTCCCTACACAGGAGTAAGAATACCCTGGAACAGCACAAAGTAGAGCCACAAATTCATTTCAAGAATTTAAATTCGAACCTCATTAAGAGCCTCTCAAACCACTGGATGCTTATCCAATACATGATAGACGACTAAGAATGAACCATTTTAGTATGTATAGGATAATGAACACTTCTTGAAATCCTTTTGAACTTTTTGCTCGCTGATATGTTCTAGGCAAACTGCTCAGTGTCCTTTAAGATGAAACTCGACATATTCTGAAGGATTGTGGTCAGTATTTGATTCGTATTCACTAGCTTACCACTTCTTCTTGTTTTCATGTAAGGGCTCTTTCAGTTTATCTCATCCGTTTTTTATCCATTTTGTCCGTTTTCAGTGTGCTTTTTAGTGTATTTTTTACGGTCTTAGTCTTTTGCCAGCGTCTACACAGTTTACGTCAACATAGTCATGAAAAATTCATGCAAACGACCTGAATGCCGTTTCGCTGTTATATCTGGCATGCAATGCGACAACTGATAAGGTTGGTTCCACGAAGCATGCACGGATCTCACAGCAACTGATTACAACAGACTCAGCAAGTTGGATCTTAAGTGAGAATGTGTTATGTGCAGCACGGATGCTGTAGTCTTGCTGATTAACATCACTGTCCTACAAACAGGTCTGCAGAGTAAGTTGTCCGCAAACTTAGGAAAAGACAGTTACAAAACGGGTAGACAAATAAGAGCGCGCAACGAAAACAAGAATAGGGATGTCGACAGGTCTACCATCGATGGAGCATGCACTAGCACTAATGATGACACGTTGAAACTCAGCACCATCATTACGTCGACGGTACTCGACTCCCTCAGTAAACTCGGGTCTTACAGCACAAGGTCCTTGAACGCGACAGTGGTTTCCAAAAACTCATAGGTGATTGGACACATGTCAAAGGAACTAAAAAGGACCAGGTGTCCCCGTCTACGTTGAACATCCCTGCTGTTGTACGGAAATCAACTGTTGATTTGGTCACACAGTCTACCCCCAAGATTGCCCGTACGGTCATCAAAGAGCCTAGGATTCATAAACGTGCTTCGACCTTCAAACAACTAGGTATTAAACCTGAACCCGCCGGGAAACCTGGTAAATTGACTACAGTTCGCGACGATTCTCTCATAACCATGAACCTCATTGACGATTATGACTTTCCTCTCAGTCTGCAGGACAAAAATGATGGGACGCTCTGTGATGAATTGAGCAAGAAACTCGAACTTCCTAGAATACAGCCTTTGACTGTCACCTGGATCACTCGAGGAAGGAATTTCAAGCATCTAAATCACTCGGGTTTTCGAGTAACACTTAAGAATGCTACCGACGTAGAGGACGTCTTGCTAGCAAGTCACTTGCTGAAATCAGATGTAAACGTACGAATATTGCCCGACATACCGTACTCTGAGCGTACTATCATACGAAACATCCCAAAAGAATCTCGTGAGAAGTTTTTCCGCAGAAGAAACATATTTGTGCAAGGTATACCGGAAAATACGGACCCTACTCAAACAAACTCTGACATCAGGGAATGGAAATTCATCAAACAGTCCTTGATGCTCAAACACATACTGACTCAGCATGTGACGAGACTAGCCAAGAAGGATGGTGATACTAGACTCCGTCTAATGAGGATAACCTTCCCATCTTCCCACATGACGGCTGCAACTCTGGAAGCATTTCGTGCCAACAGACGTCGATTGCCACCTGGAATCCACATGCACCTGGACAGGCCATACGAAGCCAGGACCAAGTACAAAGGCAAGTTGGAGCTGACCATTCCACTTGTGGATTGTCTAAACGATAAAAAAAACGTGTAAAGGACAGGGCCTACCACCTCGGTAAACCTCACATGGGTGGGCTACCTGTCCATTCACACAAGGCTCATACAGAAAAACAGGACGAAGCTCACGCGTTCCAAATTGAAAGTATAAACTGCTTATAAATGAACGCCTCGAGTCTACCAAACAAATTGAATGAATTACGTGAAATTAGCAACGCTAGTAAGGCCCATCTGATAGGAATATCTGAAACCTGGATATCTTCTCAGTTCTCGGACCAAGAGTTAGCATTACCTGGGATGTCTTTGTTCCGCAATGACAGAAAATCAGGAATTGGGGGTGGTTAAGCCGTTTACATACGTTATTGATTGGAGGTGCACCAAGTTCACAACCTCGAGTTTAACAATCTTGAGGAATCCATATGATGCTCTGTAAGATTGTCTGGTACTTCAAAGTGTCTAGCCGGAGTCATTTACAGGAAGTCAACTGCCGACATCGAGTACGATAGTCGCATGCTGGAAAGACTATCCTGCTCTACTCGTCTCATTTTCATATACATCCTGATTCCAGGGGACTTTAATCTCCCTAGAGTCAACTTCGCGGAACACACGTATACTGGAAGTGACAACACAATTGAAGCTCGATTCTTCAACCTTATCGATGACATGGGATTGTACGAAAATGTGAGGTCGGCAACTCGTTGGAGAAACAGTCATTCACCTTCGCGCTCAGACTGTGTATTCACAAACAAAGAATTCTTAGTTGAAAACCTCTCAATCCTGGCTCCTCTGGGAAAGAGCGATCATGCCGTCATAGCCTTCAGCTTTCTCATCAAAACTAAGCTAAGGCATCCCACCAATAACTTGCGTTGGAATTTTAATCGGTTGAACGGGCCAGCTCTAAATGACTATCTACAACAGATGGTTTGGGATGTTCACCCTCAACTCGATGTGGATGGTCATTGGGACTTCTTATTGCACACGCTCTTAGGTGCTACAAACCATTCAGTTCCTCAAACGGGTGCCAAAAGCTGCAAGCCACCTACAATAATCAAGAACCGTACTCTTCGCCTGCTAAGCCGTAAAAGGCACTGTTGGGCGGAATACAAACGAACTGACAACGACGGAGCGTACTGGCAATATAAACATATCACGAACATATGCACGAAGGCTATAAGAGAAGATAGGCTGCAGTAACAGACGAAGCTTATGGACAAATTTACCTCTAATCCTAAAAGCTTATTCCGTTATGCAGCCTCTCTTCGTCAAGCCAAAACTGGAGTTTCCCAACTGCTAGGTTTTAACGGCCCGACCAATGACGACGGTGACGCCGCTAACCTTTTGGCTGAGCATTACTCTCAGACATTTCAACCGACCCACACCAACTATACTGATGAAAGCTTCATCTGCAACTTCAAATGACTTTCCGAAGTGAACCTGAGCGCTGACTCGGTGTTCCGAAAACTGCAGCACTTAAGAACTGACACTTCTCCTGGCCCGAATATGGTCCATTCTGCCATACTGAGGGAAGCAGCCTTAATCCTGGAAACGCCGCCCAGCGTGATGTTCTCACATTTGCTACACCGACGAAAACCACCGAAAAATTGGAAGTTGGCTCACATCACACCAATTTTCAAAGGGGGTCAACGCAATGAACCTTCAAGTTATCGGCCGATGGCTCTTCTCTCAATACCTTAAAAAATAATGGGTCCCTGGTATGCGATGGTATAAATGAATATTTACTGTCCTTGAATTTCTTCTCACCCCAACAGCATGGTTTCAGGAAGGGTTACTCTTGTATTACCAACCTGCCGACTGCAGTGGACAGATGGACAAGCATCCTCGATCGCAAGGGAAAGGTTGATATCATTTACCTTGATTTCTCAAAAGATTTTGATAAGGTTAACCATATATGTCTTATTAATTAGCTCAAACTATTGGGTATCAGAGCATTTCTAATTGATTGGATTTCTTCATACCTGAAAAATCGACACTTTAAGGTTAAGGTTAATTTCAATTTATCTCAGGCTATGAAGTGTCCTGTTGGGTTCCCCCAGGGCTTAGTACTAGGACCTCTTCTCTTCTTGATCTACATAAATGATCTTCCTCAACATGTAACGTCAGAATAATTACTCTTTGCCGGTGATGTTAAACTTTGGAGAGAGATACGTAATCAAGACGATATACAGACACTTCAAAAGGATCTGACTCGACTCCAAAGTTGGGCAGATAATAGCGGACTTACTTTAAACAATTCAAAGTGTAAAGTAGTCCACTTGCGACCTGTCGCAGACTACAGTTATAACTTAGGAAACTCCTATCTAGTACTATCCCAAGTTGAAAAAGATTTAGAAGTCCTGGTGCTCTACGATTTAAAGTCTTGCGCTAACTGTAACAAAAATGCATTTCGAGCAAACCTTGCACTGGTAACATTGAAACGCATTTTTGGCCAGTTTGACGGAAGAACTTTCCACATAATCTTCAACAGTTCTATCCGTCCCCATTTAGAGTACGGAAACAGTATTTCCTTCCTCACTCCAAAAGTATGAGGAGCGTATTCATTGGCGAGCCACGAAATCAGTTGGACGACTCAAATTTAAACCTTATGAAGTGCGTCTCTATTCACTTAACCTTTACCCATTAGAGTATAGACGTCTTAGAGGTGACCTTCTAATGGCTTATAGTATCCTTAACACTTCTTGACATCCTCTTAAAAACCTACTTAAGCTTAGTTCGAACACTAACCCAAGAGGTAAAACCCAAAAACTGTAGACACAAAATAGCAGAACGGAATGTAGACACAAATTCTACTCCTTAAGAATTGTAAAATGCTGGAATTCGCTGCCGATCGAGCTAGTCCAAGCGACTTCCCAGGAGTCAACTTGATCTATTCTTAAGGACTAAGGATAGTATCGCACTGTGATTTATCAATTTCTTTTCTTGTTTTATTGCTAACATACCTAGGTTCGTGCCTGAAGGATTTGGTGATCACCTGCTACTAGACACGGAAGCCTGTTAAGCGAAAGCTTCTTCAATTCCGTCCACAACCATTTGAACCATCTGAACTATTTAGACTAAAACCTGTAAACATTAAAGACTCACTGCTTCTAGACACAGCATTCCATTGTACGAAAAATTCTTTAAATTGCTTTACAACCATTTGAACCATTTTCAGAATTAGTTTGAATTTTTCAGAGATTCATATGTTCCGCTTAACCTTGATATCACCTTGTAGAGGCGGGCCCTTTGATTCTTTATCTTTTAAGATGGCCTCAAGAGTATAGTGGATAATATTCATTGAGAATGATTCAGTTGAAGTTATCCGATAGTGACATATGTGAGAGACGAAAGGCACAGTTAAAGGAGTGGTGTGGTTCAGAGACTGATCATGCGTCATCAAAAATGCGGGAGCCAGAGAAAATCAAGTTTCCATTATCGGTTCAGCTACTTGCCGCATGTAGTAACAGTGATTTGGATGAATTTTCCCGTTTACTTAAGCTTGGAACGGACATTAATACGCAAAATGCGGACGGATTAACTAGCACACACTTAGTATGTCGTGGTTTTCTTCAAATCTCTCTTACTATAAGGCTTGTATCAATGTCGACTTTGATTTTTTGAAGTTTCTTATCAGCAATGGTGCAGATATCAATCTACAGGATCACGAAGGTTGGACTCCTTTGCATGCAGCAGCTTCTGTGGGTTGCTGTGAACTAGCCAGGTTAGTATTCGATGTGTTAGCCGATAACTAACATTAGGTTTTGATCTGAATTTGTGTCTACTAAAAGTTTCATTTTTGTATTTCTAGTTTGCTCTCTAGTTACTTCCAGAGTTCTGCATATGTAAAAGCGTAATAGTTTGGACTAACACATATTTTGGTTTATGATATACAGGTCCTAGCTTAAACCTTTCTTCAATTCAGTCATTAGTTATTCTGGCGAGACTATAATTTATGGACGACCTTTGAATGAATCCTAAGTGACCCTGAGAAATATTAGCCAACCAGTAAGCATGGAGTAAAAATATATACAAAACCAAAGAAATAAATTGGATGAACTTATTGTACATGGTTAAGAAACTTTACAAGCTTAGAAAGAGGTTCAGAGGTTCTAAAATTCTAATGAATGTAGTAGAGGAAATCATCCACATGGCTACAGAATAGTCCGCGACTGGAGCCATGATAAATACGCAAAAACTCTTCCAGCCTCGACCACATAGCTTCAATGTTATTTGTGTGCACTCCTGTTGTTTAGTACACAAAATATCGCTTATGGATATTGACACGATATACATAACCAATTCTCTGTAAGAGTATGTACTCTCTCCAATCATTCGTATACATTGTAGCACCTGGTCGCAACAAGTGTTACTGGTGCTTTAATTATCCAGTTCGCAATAATTGTCATAATTTGCCTTAGTTAGGAATTATATATGGGGTTTTCATCACGAACTGACATCAGTTATAGTGCTAAAACTCTATTTAGCGAAATAGATAGATCTTCGCGCCAAAATCCGAGATCTGTTATCTTATACCTGATTGGTTCGTTCACAAATTATAGTCTATCCGTTTAATTTGTTATAGGCGCTCAGTTATCACGTTTTGTATAAAACTCCCTGTGAACCGGTCGTACGTCAGCATCAAGTTCTGAAGTTAGTGTTATGACCTTGAAATCCCTAAAACGCTTCTGATTGACTCGTCCATAAGTTATAGTCTTGTCGTTATTTTATTTAGTAATTTCAATCACGTGCCTTTTCACCATATGGGTTATACGGATTGGCACACTATGTATGTTTTTGATGATTTACAGTAGACTGCGTATTTGTTGTGTTGTTTCAATGTAAATTTAAACATTACTTGTAGTTTTCACTTGTTGGGAATCCACTTTCCCCTCTTCCAGTGTCTCATCATTTCCTTAATGGTCATAAGGAAATGCACGTTTTAAAACGAGTTTATAATTAAGATATCGAGTAGCTTTTCGTTCATCACTAATAAGCCTCGTCATATATACTATCCGAGATTTCAGAAACAGCTTTATATGTCAGGCGGCATTCGTGCTCTGGATTATAAATATAATGTGTATTTCGTGCTAAATGACTGCAAAAGCCAAATTTTAAGTGCAGTTTCACGCATAGACTAACTACTTTTGTTTGCAGTTTTATGAAGTTTTGGACTCACTTTGTAGTGATTTTTATTGTTTAATGGTTCATCGTTAACTTAGAGTAAGGATAGAGATTCGTCGACAAAGGCCACCTTTAATGTTTCACTATAGACTTATGGTTTGAGCCACCAATTAGATTTTTTTCAAACCAAAAATAAAGAACGTTACATGTTGGGTTATGCAGTCTGGTTATAGCTATCAGCACTGACGTTTTTCTGCAAACGTTTTCATACTTTCGGATTTTTTTGAGTATGATTTTTGCAAAAACTTATAGGTCTTGCAAGTACAGAGCAATCTTTTTGTCACCATACTTGATATCGTTCCTTATGATTCATTTTGACCGACCTCATTTTAGGACCTATTGAGAAGTATAGACTGTCGTTTTTAACAATTGCCAATGTATTTTGTCTTTCACTTGATCTCCGAAATCCCGTCACCCCGTCTTGTATTTTTCTAGTCTATATTCAAACCAAAGTAACCTCAACTTAATGTAGCTAGGTGGACTGATAATTTTTTAGTGATTGACCAAACATATGTTGGGGGCTTATGGTGATGCATGCAATAATGTTACTGAATTTTCCACTGAGTTCTAGTAATCCATTCTGCGATACTGAACAAATGATAAACTCTACATTTCCCTGTGAGCCGATTAATCTCAGATAATTTACTTTGATTAGGTATTGTAGGGGAGAAATAAAAGTAGCTAAAATAACTAACTATACGATTTCTCAATGATCATACGTAGTAGCTAGTTCGTTAAAAGCTAACGTTTTAGTAATCGGTCAGCAAAGTTATCTGTTAAGTGTTTCGAGGTATAAAATGTTAGAATACACTTCACCGAGGAAAGTGGGCTAGTGGTATACTTCTAGGGATGGTAATTCAATATAATGGTATATTATGGTATTATGGTTTTTATCAGATTGTTCTCATTTCTTGCTGCAGTTTTTGAAACTAATAGCATTTCAATGTAAATACTCCTTTATTGTCTAACATACTCATGCGGATAGCAAATCTGTGTGAACCAGGCATGTTTCTACCTTGTGCATGTCATACCTATGGACTGGGACTATACAGTAATTACATTTATTGACCGATAGTCAGCATCGATCAACTGCTTGTTTGATCAATTTCAGTGAAGTATTTTAAACAGGCTCATCTTATTGATGAGGGTTCTTCTCTGGATTTAACTGTCAAGTGACCCAATGTCATTCATTCATAACTAATGTAGGATATTTGTAGGTATCATTACCAAGGTTTGATTTGATATATTATTTTCATTTATAATGTAGGATCTGCCACGAATTGTCATTCCAGGTTTCTACATCACAGCAGCTCATCACGATAAACTTAGAGAGAGCTGAAGTTATAATGAGATGTAGGATAGTGAAAAAGATTAAATATAGAATGTTTTTAAAATTAAGAGTAAAATTAAACAATGAAAAGTTTGAAACCGTGAAAGCCACTGTCTAGAGGAAAATTAAGAACCCACACATCTTCACTAATGTGACAGATTCTGATTACTATCATGCAAAGTTTTTAACAATTGATTATATTTACCATGAGTAGCCTAAGGAGGTAGCTTGCATCTTTAAGCATGGCTCAGATCAACAGTTTGACCTCATAGACAGACTTCACGTCTTGGTTTGCCCACCCTAGCATTGCTCAAAAATAAGTTATATAAAAAGCTAACATTTATAGGAATTTATTTTTATTCATTTTTTAACGAACTTCCGTCTCGGAGTAACTTTTTACGTGAATTTCACTCTTGAGATAAATCTAAAGGAATGTCAACGATGTATGTGACACTAGATTAAATTGATTTCATTGAATTTTGGTCATTTTATAGTGTGCACTGATTAATGGGTGTAAAATCTGCTCACTTTAGATCGGCGATCAGAGCACAGACTTTCAACTGCTTTGATTCAAATTTGAACGACATTTACCTATTTCACTTCTAAATGACAGTTGCTATAATCTACTTTTATGCCTGAATATTGACTCAAAATTGAGTGCATAAGCTCGTTTTTGTTTACTGAGAAACGTATCAAATGTCGGCTAATCAGTCATGCAAATAAATTCACACAAATACATAACAATAAAATGCGTTGAATTTTATGATTCTCTAACCACATTGAGTTCATTGTCTAAGATCCCTACGGTCCTGTTTACATTTCCACCACTTATTCAGTGGTTTTGGAGGATTCACGTGTCATTGATGACCCAGTATCTTCAACATTTTCTTGTTTGAAAGAAATAATGATAATATTATTATAAAATGTTTTCCTACCCATTTTTATAGACCTTTTTCTCACATATCTAAATTTAGGTTAAACATGTTATTCAATCTTCTATACTCTGTCCTTCGTATGCTGAAAAATGTGCCTTAGACAACATTAATCAACTTCGCTTTCCTATGTTTTCACAAAGTTTCAGTTAGTAATAGGCAACATGAAATGTGTAATATGTTTGTGTTGGTTCAATGTTCCACATCATATCAACACAGAAAGATGTAATTATCAAAATAAACATCAGTAGTACAAGTAATGACATCGATAAGGGTAGGGAAGATTAGGTATAGACAGTATGATTTAAAAGGAAAGAATTAAATTGCAAGATAAAGAGTGAATCTGTCTTATTGAGACCAATTTGAAGTCATATCATTCAATGTCACTGACCGTTGATTAAGGTAATCGTGCTTATGTTAAACAAGTAGTTTGGACTTAACTATACGACTCAATCTGAGTAGACGGTTATAAAACCTCACTAGATTTCTGTTAGTCAAAGTTAACACAAATTCCTACTGTTTCGAGCTTTAGTTCATTTCAGCGTTTTAAAAACTGTAACAAATATCACAAGATTCATATAAATTATCACTTTAAAAGATTTTTTCATGGAAATCCTTTCTAATTAATAACGTTTTTTTGTTCGGTATATTTACAAAACACAACATTCGTCCTCTAAATATTAATGCTTTAAAGATATTTACAACATGCATTGAGATAATTAATAAATTTCTTCGATGAACTCAGGTATAAGATTCATTTAACTATTTTACAGGCCATAAAAGTATGTGGCGAAATTTATCAAGTTCTGGAAATTTCTACGTGATTTTGTATTGATTGATGATTCAATTTGGATTTTGAAATCACTGAACTATCATTTCTAAAAGCCAATGAAAGCAATTCATTAAGAATCATTGTTTATCATTACTTTTTTCAACACCTTTCTCGACTTTGTCGAATAAGATTATCAATATTTTATTCAACCTTGACATAATAAGGGTAATTTTTCGATGTTAATGTCTATTGAATCTCTAGAAGAATTGTTCATCAGAATTTTCCTTGTAATTACTTAATATTTACAGTTATTCGTAAGGATATGTTACTTACCTTTTTAGACTATCATGTTAGTACTGGTTTTGTAGCCTTCACTTTCTTTGATTTGTATTAGTGACACTTGAAAGTAAAATCTCTATTACTACTTCTACTACTAATACAGAGTCGAATGGAGTATAGAAATCTTTTTTTAAAGGATTTTCTACTTCTTTTTTGCAAATGGCTCA